CACACATGCAGTAGCCAGGGCACTTCTGTATACTGTTCCTAATGAGGACGTCTCAGAGAGCACAATGAAACAATGAATCTCAATAAACAGCAATATAAGAAAATTAAAGGTGTCCAAAAACACAGAACTAAATCTTTTACAACGCAGCACGATAATTTAAAATTCTGCTGTTCATATTGTCATTCAATAAAAGAGTTGGGCTTACTGCAGAACAAAAGTGTACGACTAACGAAGTCATATCTTCAAGAAGATATGGCTTCATAAGAAGGAGGAAATGTCCTTTTTCCTTCTTCCGTTTGTGGTTTCTGTAGCCCTGAAGAACTGCAGTCTAGTCAGTTTAGTCTGCGTTCATTCACAAAGCAGCTGAGCTGATGTTGCCACGGCATAAAGGAGCAGAAGACCGTGGCAGCGAGTGGAAGACTTTTCTTTCTACTGACTGGATACACACAACCAATCTGAGAAACAACCACTTCACAATGGGTGACAGGAAATTGGATCTGTGTGTGGTGAGAATACCAGCTGAGGAGTCAATGGTATGTTTGTAGGAGAAAGCAATTTGCAAAGGAATTGCAGATTTTTAATCTTCTATAAGACTGTGAATGAAGGTCTTAGAGCTTAATGACTTGCTGATGCTGTTTTTGTAAGCATTAAACCGAGGTTAGTTTAGGTTGTAAAATGCAAATCAGGTGGATGTCTTATTTTCTTTTGTTAATTTTCTAAGTTTATTTGAATTTTATTCTCATTTTTGAGTTAGTTGATTACACTCTTTACTATATGTTCCTGAGACTTCTATTTTTCAGCCAGAAAACATATACAAAACTACTTAAAACTTAAGAAAATACGAATTTGTCTCACATTGCCAAAAGACAAAGAGGATGATAATTTTTTAACATGTTCATGTGTCTGTTACTATATCACTTAATGAACCACTGGGCAGATTTTAATGAAGCTTTCAGAAAAATAATGACAAGATTGACATCTACAACTGCTTCTGMCTGAGAAGATGGCCAGCACGGCCAACTGACAATAGAAAACGTAAACATGGCTATATTTCAGTCTAGATCAGGGGTGTCAAACTCGAGGACCACATGAGCATTATAGTGCTGGAATAAACTTTGACAAAAAAACCCACAAAAGTCACGTTCCTCYTCTCATTGAGCACAGCTAGCATACAATAACTGAGCTCTACGTGGTATTTCCTGTATAAAAATAGTGTTTTAATACGTCCTTTTATAACCACAGAAAAGTACTATGTGTACGACTGACTAAATGAGAAATAAATAATACAGAAATTCTATTATAAAGTTAAAGCAAGTGAGTTTTACTCACTGTTTAGTTGTGGTTTTATATTGTGAATTACATCAACTACCAGCTACTTTTGAACCGGGTGCAACTCCACCTGGTGGTGCGATGCTTTCATTATGCAGTTAAAATAATCAACATGCATTATGGGAGATGTAGTGTATGGTTAATGCTTTAAAGGAGCATGCACTTATTTTAAGACKTTAATACTTGAAGCTCTCGAGGGCCACATAAAATGCCGTGGCGMGTCATAATTGGCTCATGGGCCCTGAGTTTGACACATGCATTTGATAGATGGATACTCCTAGTTTGAGCCAAAATTTTGTTTTTCACTTCAAATCAATATTTTATTTAAAAATGATAACTGCTGCTTCAGATCTATATTGACTTTGTGATTTTTTATGTTTTTTTGTTAAAGTCCTTTAAATATATAAGACTACTTTGTTTTTGCAGCTGAAAGAGCTCACACAATGAAGCATAGTAACACATTAACTCACTGAACTTTTCCTTTATTTAAGTTTTGTTTAAGGCATRGAAATTGTGGGACAATATAATGAATGAAAAAAAATCTGCTTCTGGCTTGGAACACAGGCAAACAGAAAAAAAGAGAAAGACAGACGTTACATTTGGCTCAGCTCAGGCAAAATGCTGCTCGGTGACTCTGCAGATTGAAGGATGGAGTTAATTAAAAAAGGTTTMGTTCTGTTGTTGTTTGCCGTGTACGTCTCGGTGTTTGGAGATGTGTTCTCTCTAGACCTCAGGGACGTCTCTAATCACAACACAACATGCTGCCAGCTACCTAATCCTCACAAGTCTCAGCAAAAAGGGCATTTTTTTAGGTCTTCCTTCTACCTGATGCAGATCACTTAATGCAACTTTTCTGTAAATGATTCACTCATATAGAGGTGCAGTTTCTCCTAAAATAGGATTGTTTGTATCACACAGTGCTTGCAAAGAGAGTGGTGAGTCATACTTTCTGCTCAGTGATTTTGGTTTACGCTGGAAGCACAGTTTTCCAAWTTTAGCAACTTGTGAAAGACAAAATTTAAAATTGCATAAACTGATGCAAAGAGCAAAAGATCGCTCTATTCAAGGCCATAAAAGATCAGCAAATAAATGACTTTGTGCATCCGTTWAAATGCTTTTTGACTTCATATCCTGCCACTGCAGCTTCTGAATCACATGTCCATCTAACAAACTGACAATCTTTTAGAACTCAGAGAAAAACTATTTAAAAATYCATRYTGCCCATTTCCAGAAAACATCCTGTGCTTCTGTCACATTGGTTTTTCTTGCACTGCACATCACTCCTGAAAGGCTGCCACTTCTTTCAAATATTTATTGTATGGCAGCTTTAAAAGTGTGATCTATTACATTAGAAATCCACAAAACCCCTTCTATCAGTCAGGAGAAATCAGTCAGAAACCTGTATAGATTTCTGTATTATCATCAAATATCTGCTGTTAGATATAGTTCCTATGAAAAGACGTCAGGCATGCTGACTTCTTATAAMTAAAAATTAAAATACAGTATGAGATAAAAGCCAGAAAACTAATGTGATTGTGCTAAAAATGCTTCATTACTAGAGCTGTATGCATCTTATGTTATTAAAGTTTTTCTTGTGTGTTGTGGCAAAATCTGTTGCATGTTGTTTAAATGGAACAAGAGTTTATTTGTATGGAGATCTAAACAGTGAGAATATTGACTGGCAAAAATAAAATAAACTCATATTTGAATTTGTGCACTTTCTTCATTTTTTAAGATGTGTTAATGCTCAGAGTAACACATCAAATTTTATCRCAATATCTGAACACTTAAGCAAGTTAGAGCCACTTCTGTGTTGGCTAAGGTTGATCATTATGTAAATGCTATATATGGAGAACCAAAACAGACATGATTAAGATAAGATAAGATAAGATAAGATAAGATAAGATAAGATAAGATAAGATAAGATAAGATAAGATAAGATA